AAAGAACCACATGGGAAAGAACCACATGGGAAACTGAGAACAGAGATTACTTCCCCAAAGTATACATCAATCAGAGCTTCCTCTTATCTTCTTATAAACCTGAGCTCATCTTCTCATATGTCCAAAGATCAGAGGTTGCAGTCTTGTGACTCCGAGTGACTTCACTTAGATTTCCAACAGGTCCAAGTCTGCCCAGGTGGGAGGGGAAAGGAGGCAGAGTCATTGATGAACTCCCATAATAGGGATTCTTCCAGGGGCTCAGTTCAGATCTTCTTTTCTGAGCCTTACATCAGATTTTGTTTTAGTCACTAGATCAAATTCATTATCACTTTATTTCCAACATGATTGGGTAGGAGTAGTTTGGAATGTGCAGGATAGGAAAAATAGCATCTCCTAAAGAAAAGAATGAAAAATCATCTTCCCTGGTGCCTCTCTAGGACTGTAGACCTGCCCTTCCTCCTCCAGTTCTAGTACATGCCAAGCAAAGGTGTCATAGAGCTATGTAACAGTTCAGTCATGTCTGAAGTAATTGAGACTGTCTCTATCCTTCACTGACCATCTAAACCACTCATAGTGCCTTCAGTAATGTGGATGGGAGTTAAATGCACCATCTTATTAGCCATGGGTGGGTGAGGCCAGGACCAAATGACATTCATCAATTTCGCTTGGACAAACTTTCACTTCTCATTCTATCTATGAAGCAAGTATCTTTGATACGGAGAGACTGAGTAGACTGTACTATTTTAGAGGGCTTTTGGGGGGGATTTTAAATGGAAGCTTAACCTAAAAATATGTGCATAAGTGCATAAGTAAGGTACAATTCCTGCTATCATTGCAAATATATTCATTAAGTAATTTGAAGTTTTTGCTTGAAATTTGTCATCATGAAGAAAAAATAACCTCAAATGTTTCAAATTAGTTTCTGTTGGAAATTCCTGAATTTACATGTGTTTCCAGTAAGGTCTGATTTTGAGATAGTTTCTGGAAAATAAAGAAAAAAAAGAATCTGGGTAGCTCATAACAGCAAGTAATATGTACATAATTGTGTGAGAAAAGCTAAAACATTTCACAGCTGGTCAGCGTAAAAAGTGAATTGTAGGTTTTACTTTACAGATAACACCTGTATGTCTTAAATAATGCATATGTATATTGATCATTGGAGAACTTTCATGCAGCATGAAATTTCTAATTATAAGAAAAATAAAGGGCCAGCCAGATAGCTCAGCAGACTAAAGCGCCTGCTTCGGCAGAGCACTAGTTGGCCTTTGATCCCCAGCTTGCCATGCTGGGCCCGCCCTTGGAGTTCACTGAGCAGGGGATGGAGACTGGGTGTGACTGGGTGCACCTGTAATCCCAGCACTTGAGAGGCTTAAAACAGGAGAATGACTATGAGTCAGAGACCCTGTAGATCCTGTAGACCCTGTTCTAAATTCATAAAAAGAAAAGAAATAAAAATCAACCTTTTAAAAAAATTGATTTTTATAGCATTAAATAAAACTGTTTCTAAAGTATATTCTGGGCTAGGGAGATAGCTCAGCAGTCTAACTGCCTGCCTTGGAAGCACAAGGACCCAGGTTCGATCCCCAGTACTGCACGTTGTGCTTGCCATGGAAACTGGGCATGGTGGTGCATGCCTGTAATCCCAGAACTGAGGAGACTGTGATGGAAGGATCACTATGAGTCTGAATTGTGTAGTGAGATCCTGCACCAAATAAATACATAAATAATTTTTTTAAAATAAGTAAAGTACATATTATCCATCACAATCGATTGTTCTGCAATATGTCCTGTTCAGACAGCAGAGAAAATCACTATGAGTTTTATCATACATTCAGTAATTTCTGTGAGAAGAACAAATTCTGCATAATGTAGGTCTCAAGAAAATGATTTTTGCAATCATTCTAATCTCTTCTTCCATTGTCTGACCTCTGATGTATCCTCTGGGTTCACTCGTCCCCACAGTCTTAATGGAAACATGAATTAGGATCAGTGTGCTTGTGTGCACATCCATGCTAACTTGTGCGTGTTGATGAGTGTGAGACTGTGTGTGCACAGGTGTAGCAGGATGCATATTCTGCCTTTAAGAAATACTGGAGGAAGTGAAGAAAAGGCAAATGGGTGGAGAAGAAAAGTAGAAGAATTATTCAAATACAGTTCTATCATTTAAAGGCAGGATGGATATCAAAGCTGCAATAGCAAATGCACTCCTTTGCTTGATGCCAAAGTGTAGGTTCTGCTTTTGAAGCAAATTCTTCTATGAAGCAGAATTTGCAAAGCAAAGTAACGCAGAAGGAAAACTTTTGCTTACAACCTTTAAAGCATTCACAAGTGGCTCCAACCTGGAGCTCACTGGTTCCCTTTCACTGCCTCTCCGCATCCCGATACTAAGAGAAAGGATACCAAGGAGGCTCAGAAAGCAGCAGTGCCTGGGGTAGGAATCTTGATGTGGGAAAGGAAAACAAAGCTGAAAGACCGTGGACGACTCTACATGGGAGGTAAAGGGCAGGTGTTTGGCTGAAGGGGAATATTTTACTGCAAGATATTTCCTCACTCTTACCATTAAATCCCTAGTTTGGAGTGGGAATGAGGAAATGACACTTTAGCAAATGGAAATTTGAGAAAATACTACTTACAAGGATATAGAAAAACCATGAAGTGAAGCTGTACTGGAAATAGAGAGCTCAAAGCACCTGTAGGTGTTATTCTTTTGCCTTTTCACTCTATATTTGTATTTTCCAGCTTGGATTACAAGTACTCTATCTCCTGATGCAAGTGCTTTGCCTCTGAATGGCTGAGTCCTTACAAAGGGTACCCATGGCTTATTTATCTTCAGGAGCCTCCAGAGAACCCAGAAACCCTTGCTACATTGACACAAATTTTTAGATGGAACAGATTCTAAAAGCTATTGTGAATTGAGCACCAAGTTAGGAGTTGGGAGATTTAGGTCTCAGGACAGTCAGCTACTACTTCGCTTTATTTCCAAGGGAAAGTCACTTGGGCCTGTGGATCTCAGTTTCTCTCTAGTAGACAGAAGGTTGTCTTAGATGATAGTCTAGACACTCCACAACTTCAGTATTCTGGAGCAGCAGGTTTTCTTTCTTTAAGAATATGCAGAAACTATGTGTCAATTGAATTTTTGCTCACAGATTCTATAAATGTAGTGGAAATTTCTCATTAAATGTATACAAAACTGTTCCTTTGAATAGTAAAACAATGGTGTAGCAGTTAACTCACCTGCACATGATTACTAGTATCATTTGTCTTTTTGCTAAAGTAAACTTTAATTGATTTTATCTAGTGCAGATAATTTCCTTGAATAGACAGATTGTTTTTTCTGGAGTACAGCAGCTCAGCCTAATCCAGTAAGGTAATATTTTAAAAGTATTACTAAAAGAACTTTATGCTGTACCCCAATAACCTTTAAAGTATGTGTGTGTGCACGCACGAGCATCTATGGAGGTATTTCTGAATTCTGAATAAGAATTTTCTTATAGTTTTAAATCCTAGCAGCTCCTTTTCTTGTAACCAGTAGTTACAATAAAACTTAAGCACTCAATATTCACATATGGGACTTGTGTTTGTAACTGTTCTTTAAGGTATTTCTTTTTCTTTTTTTGTTTTCTTTTTGTGGAACTGGGTATTGAACTCAGGCCCTTGTGCTTGCCAAGCAAGCACTTTTTCTACTGAGCTGTCTCCCCAGCCCCTTCTTTAAGTTATTTCTAAGCACATGAATAATCTACATGAGCACTGATGATGTTCATTTATTAAATTTAAAGCTATAAAATTCTGATACAGTGCCATATACAGCATTTTTGAAAGAGAAGGAAAGTGTCAATAAGAAGAGCCTTCGGGGGTTGTGATATTTTTAATTTCAAAATAAATCTGTCTATGGATGAAAAGAATTATAATTAATACATTTAAAGCATGGTCACCTGATATGCCATCCAAATGATCCTTAGAGATAAAGTGTTTAGTCAGGCTTACGGAATCAAAGTTGTTTTAGAGATGATATCTACTGTCAAATACAGGACACCTTTTCACTAGAACTGGCAAACAATACAGTTTCTATTTGTAGGCACAAGGCCAGGACCACTGGAATAAGATAGTCAGCAGAAGATCGAAGGCTGTAAGTGGTGAGGAAAGACTGCGGCAAGCTACAGCAGCTGGGAGACTGGCCTTAGTTAACTGATCACCGAGAGGCTGAAGGGTTAAGTCAGAATTAACAGGCGACAGCTTTCAGCAATAGCACCTTCTTCCAAGATCTTGATGTGGCTCAGATTCCGTGAGAGCCTATTGGGTGCTGCAGGAACCCAGGGGCTCCCTTAATTTATGAAGGAGAAGCAGATGTTGCACGTGCCGCGGGGGGTGCTGCTGGCAGAGGGCATCCTGGATCGGCTGCTGTGTGGCCCTGGAATTCCCTCCAGAGATTTATCTCCACTTTGGTGACCTATAGCCAGTCCGGGACACTTAGGATTCCCTCCCAGAGAAGTGTTTAGCTTGAAGACCACAGGGGAATCCCTGCTCTCCTTTACATCAGAGACACTTCTAAAGACGGAAAGTCCAGCATTATTCCAGGTGTTTTGCACTGGTGCAGCCCTAGGCCTAAGGAAGATCAGGAAGCCGGGAAGGAGCTCAGGCCTTGAAGCGGATCTTTTAGCCACTACCCAGAAGCAGTTAGAAAGTCGTGGATTTTTCCTTCTACCTTCTTAGAATTGATAATTAGAGGAAACAAAGGGAACAGAGTAAGGAGTAGTAGTGGCAAAGCTGCCCGCATACTAATAAGCACCAATCTTCCCCCCTCCCATATTTTTCTCCTACAACAAATTTCTGAGACGAGGCGATCTATGGGAATGAAAGGTTATTTTAGGAGACACAGTAACTACATATATGCACATTTCTCATTTAATTATTATTTAAGAAGAAAAAATATAAGCACAAAGTTTTAATGGGGGGGGGGAATAACTGAGTAAAGTTCCTTTCAAGAGTTCACTCTTTCTTGCCTTTCTAAAGCAGAGGAAGTTCCAGGGGTTGGGATTAAGTGTCAGATCGTGGTCACTGGAAAAACTCGCTTAAGGCAGGGGAAGGCAGCCCGCGCACACAGAGGTGCAGAGCTCCCAAGCCGCAGGCCGACCTGCCCCGGGCACAGCCGCGCTCAGGGCGAAGCGACGCGCCAGGAAGAGCCCGCGGCTGTCCCGCTGCCCCGCTGCTCTGCTGGTGGCCGGGAGAAGTTAGTCACCCAGAGCCCGAATTCGGCTAGCGGTAGAGCTCAAAAAGTCTGGGGAATAAAGAGGCAGGAAACAGTGTACCCGGAGGGTTGGGAAGAAGCAAAGGAGCGCTGGCCTAGGGACGCCCTGGAAGCGGACAGCCGTCTGTGGCTGGTGGGTGGAGTGGGGAGGTCTGCGCAGCAGAGCGCACCAGCAAGCAGAAGGGAAAAAACTTGAGGCAGGAACTTCCGCACGGGCAAGGAAAGCAAGCGAGAAGAAGGCAGGGAGAGACCTAAAATGTCTCAATAACGCTAAATGCACACCAAAACATCCCCTCAGGAGATGAGGTAAGCCGAGGTTAGCCAACGCCGATTGGTTGTGAAATATCACAGAGACCCGGACTCGCTGTGGCTTTAAATGAGGCCAAGAGAATTTTGTTTTTCTTGCCCAAATACTTTTCCCCCCTCCTGCCGAAGCTCCCTCCTTTGTCCCTCCTTCCACTGCATCAGGTCCCGGTCCCTTCCTCTGCTGGGTCTGGCTTTCCTCGATCGCCCTCCTCCTTTCCTTTCACCTCCCCCCTCTGATTAGGCGCGGACGGGGAAGGGTGGGAGCGGTGGGGGAAGCTCTCCCTTTAAGAGGCAGCGTGCAGTGACGAATTGTTGAAATTGCCATTGCAGGATGGCATGCCGCTATAAATTCATTGTTCCACCTCCTCGCATCTTCACAGCGCTCGCGCTGCTCTCGGCGCTCGCAGCGGCGGACTGGGGATGACCGCGGGCAGGAGGACGCCGCCGCCGGAGGGACACGGACGGACGCGCCTCTTCTCCAGCTCGCCGCCGCAGGCCACCCCCTGCTTCTTTGCTTTAATTTTTATGGCCTTTTTCCGTCTCTTTCTTCCTTTCCTCCTGCTTCCAGCAGAGCTAAAGAAACCCACTAAATAAGGAAGGAAGTGGGCCCCAGAGCTGGGAAACTCCACAGTCGCCCAGTCCCGGAGCGCGGGGCCTGGAGGCGGTGCGCACTAGTTGCCCGCCGGCTGCGCGATTCCTTCTCTACTTTTCTTGGTGCGAGAATCGCGACTGAATTTTGCTTTTCTCCTTTTCCTGCTTTTGCTCAATCTCCACCACCCGGCAATTGTCATTCTTTATTTTTTCCCCCCTCTTTCTTTTTTTCCCCCTCCCCCTTTTTCTCTATTTCCTCTCTTTCCGAACCACAAATCCAAACATTTTCCAAACCAACAAAGAAAAGTTCGCATGCTGGCATCGCGGCCGACAGGCTGGCCCTGCTGCGTTCCCCCTCCCTCTCGCTCCGACACCTGACTCAGCCTCCAAGCGACCGTGTGGATGCCCCCTTTCCGCCCCGGCCACTTCCCTAGCGAATAACACTTTCCCATAAAGTCTGGGTGGTGCAGCCCCTCCCCGCGGGCCGCGCACTATGCTGCTCTGGTGGGCGTCCCTGCTGCTGTGCGCGCTCCGCCTGCCCCAGGCCGCGGCACCTGCCCAGGATAAAGCCGGGCCGCCTCTGGCTGCTGCAGCGGCCGCCCAGCCCCGCCGGCCGCAGGGGGAGGAGGCGCTCTCGCGGGTCGAGCCTCCGGGCCACCCGCACGCCCTGGCTCTGCAGCACAGGGCCCGTGGGCTGGTGCAGAATGTCGACCAGCTCTATTCTGGAGGCGGCAAGGTGGGCTACCTAGTCTACGCGGGCGGCCGAAGATTCCTCTTAGACTTGGAGAGGGATGGCTCGGTGGGCGCTACTGGCTTTCCGCCCGCAGGAGGCGGGCTCAGCGCATCCCGGCGCCACCGAGGCCACTGCTTCTACCGGGGCACGGTAGACGGCAGCCCTCGTTCCCTGGCTGTCTTTGACCTCTGCGGGGGTCTCCACGGCTTCTTCGCGGTCAAGCACGCGCGGTACACCATAAAGCCGCTATTGCGCGGGCCGAGGGCCGAGGCAGACACCGTGCGCGTGTACGGAGAAGAGTCTGAGCGGATCCCTCACGTCTACACCCGCGAGGGCTTCAGTTTCGAGGCCCTACCACCACGCGCCAGTTGCGAGACCCCAACACTCCGACCTGGGCCGCACGAGCGCCCCCCTGTGCACAACAGTCCGGGGCGACCCTCAGCCTTGGCTCCACAGCTCCCAGACCGGTCAGCGTTTTCGCCAGCTGGGGACCCAGGACCGCAGACCTGGTGGCGGCGAAGACGCCGCTCCATCTCTCGGGCACGCCAGGTGGAGCTGCTGCTGGTGGCTGACGCGTCCATGGCCAGGATGTACGGCCGAGGCCTGCAGCATTACCTGCTGACCCTGGCTTCCATTGCCAACCGGCTGTACAGCCATGCCAGCATCGAGAACCACATCCGCCTGGCTGTGGTGAAGGTGACGGTGCTGGGAGACAAAGACAAGAGTCTGGAGGTGAGCAAGAACGCGGCTACCACACTCAAGAACTTTTGCAAATGGCAGCACCAGCACAACCAGCTGGGAGATGACCATGACGAGCACTACGATGCCGCCATCCTGTTCACTCGGGAGGTAGGTGCAACCGGGGTAGGCACACAGGGCTCCAGCGTAGGAGGAAGGTGGGAGGAGCAGTCTCGCCCATGGTTTTGCTTCTCACACAAGCCACCTGCCACTATGGATTCCTTTAATTGCATTTTCCCTAAACCTCGGCCGGTTTCTATTTCTCTGCCTTCAGCTTCAGTAGCAATTTCTGCCTGGGTGACTGCACCACCTCAGGCAATGAGCAGTCAGTGACTCTGGATGTCATCCTGTCTGTGACAGAACAGCGCAGACAGTTAAACTCGGTAAGAAGGCACTAGAATTCTGGAAATATACCACGTTAAGTAGGGAAACGGGAAAGCAGGTTTGCCTTTGGATGCATCAGTCCTCTACTTTCCAGTGAACCCAATATTAGGACTCTGTCCAACTGAATAGAAAGAGCTCAGTGGTTCATCTGTGGTAACCACTTTTATCTCATGATTCTCCTTTGTGAATGACCCTATGTGAACTGCTTCTGCAGCACAAGAGAAAGGAAGACTTTCTAAATGACTCCTCCTAATCTGGCCCAATACTGGAGTTCTTCTTACACATCCACCTTGGAATCTGGGTTCCTGGGAAGGAAGGAATGTGGGAGGGCCAGAAAGAAATAGGCACCCAATCAGCTGAAGGGACAGACTAGCCAGGCAGTAGCAAGCCCTTCCCTAGTCAGTCAGTGTGTGCATCACAAGCCCTGCCCAGGCCAACTGAGCTGCCAGAGAAGGGCCGAATCCAACACACAGGTTTGGGTTTTGGATGAATATATTTCTAAAATTCGTTCAAAGTATTTGGGCAAAGAATCCAAACATGGAAAAGGAATATCTTCCCAGGATTTTCTCATTTTAAGACAGATGTTTACAGGAAAGGAAAGATATGCATCAGTAAGCTTGAGAGAAAGGCAATATCTATTTTCACAGTTATTAGACCACCAAGTAGTGAGACATTGAAGCAAAGTCCAGATCAGTCTGGGGCCCGCCTTGCAGGTAGTTCTAAGCCTCAGTTTTCACAGCTCTGCTTTGATTGGCAGTTTTAAACCGTGTCTCTCAAATGGCTGGGAAGAATTAGATTCTAAAGCTCATTCTTGAGGTGTCTGAGACCGCTCCAGAGTAGATAAAGGATCGTAAACATTGAAATATTATGTAAAGACATAAATGGAGCAAATGGCAAGAATAGGAAATTGATGATGCCTTGTAGGAAACTTCAAAATCACACAGCTTTGCTACTAATTTTTCTATTTTTTTAAGGTACCTGCGGTATGAAGGAAAAGTGTTGATAAATTTAGAGTAGAGAAACACTTGTGGTTCCTGGGGTTTGCATAAGTGTAAACCACATGTAAACAAAGAGACTAGAGGGGCAGCACTTTAGGGAAAACTGGGCATTGCCCAGGGCTGTGTACCATGGAAAATCATTCTCTTCGTTAAGTGATATTCTGGAAGCCATCCTTTACTTCCTCTGTACAATGTGTGTCTTTGAAATGCTGGAATATTCAGCTTGTAGCTTCCCTGTGAAGTTCTCCTGTAAAACTATCCCTTTCTTATTTGGCTTCCAGGTCTTCTTTTTTTCTTTCATAAGCAACTTTCCATGTCTAGGTTTCCTTGCTTTGCTAATATCACAAAAGCCTGCCAAGAAGGAGGCTTTATTGAGTTTATGGAATGAGGCTCCCTAAAGAGAGAGGAAAAAATACTTTTGTAGTTATATCACTGCAAAGACTAGGTCATATTAATAATTTACTTACATTTTGGAATAAAAGCCTATAGTGGTCATACTTCTAAAATGAATAAAAATGAGAAGACCCATAACTCATTGCTCTCTGATCCTAATTTTCTTAATTGTTTTCCAGAACAAAACTGAGGTAGGAATTCTAAATGATGTCTATTGCCTTCTTGTGGTTTGTGTTTTTGTTTGGATAGTTAACAATTTATATTATCCAAACTGTGAAACTTACCAGCACACTGTAAATTCATGAAAGCAAAGGAAAAATAAATTAACAGTATATCTTAATTCTAATAATTTTGTAATAACATACTTTTTACAAACTAGTCTCCACATGGAAAATATTTTACATGGTCCCTTTCTGGACCCTTTGCCATAAAAAAGCATAGTTCAGGTTACGCAAAGCTCATTTAGTTTGAGGTTGGACCTCTGGTATAGAAATCTAATTTTATGAAAACTGAATATTTGAAAAACACATGTACTAGGAATAGATGTATCTAATTTAAAGATCTTTCAAGATTCTTACGCAGTATTCATTTGTAACATAAGTTTCCTAATGTTGTTTTTTTTTTTTTTTTTTTTTGTGGAACGGGGATTGAACTCAGACCCTTACACTTGCCGGGGAAGCACTTATTCTACTGAGTCATCTCCCCAACCCCTCTAATGCTTAAGAAAGTAAAAATCAGGAAGACTGAGGAGAGACCACAAGTTCTCCAGTCTCATAGAAATCAGATAGTTTAAGGCTTAATGAAAAATTTCATAGCTATTTCTTTTCAATGAAAAATGCCCAGAGCTGGCACCCTGATTCTACTTTTACTACTCTGTTTTGAATGTAAGAAGTGTGTTGCTTAGCAGCCAGATGCTAAGCCACCAAATCCATGTTTTGATGGGCTCCGAGTTCTGTTCAAATTTTGTGTGCAGATGTCTTCTCTTAAATTGCTTGTTTTCCAGCCATGAAGCAAATGTATGAGGATATGTTTTCCACCCCTGTTTACTAGCCCAGGCCACCTTGAACTATGTATCTGGGAGCCAGCAAATAGTATTAAAAATGCACCTATCACACCAAACCACTTCACTGTCAGGAGTGTGCCTCAGCACTCTGATGCTGTTCTAATTAGGGAAACCTAGCAGTCGTCAGTTCCCTGGCAGAGGAACCCTTTTCTCAGTGGAATGGCCCTTATGCTGGATCTCATACCAGTCATGCTATCAAACTGCAGAAATCCAGTCTCCCCGGGAGTCATTTTTGCTTCCCAGAGTGCTTGTCTTGTTTCTTACTTTCTCCTTAAACTATTTGCATATGGTCACCCTTCCTAAGAAACAAAGACCTGGGTGATAACAAAACTGGAAGCTGCTTATCATCTTCCTGTAAACCAAAGAAAGTTTTGCCCTCTCAAGCACTGACAGCACCATTTTGACTCAAACCACCTAAGGGCCTGTGTAATATAAAGGTTTCTTTCACTTTTATTAGAGGTCAGTGTGCCCTTTAATAACTGTTGTCACCCAGCTAAAACCTCACTTCTCCCATTCTGCCTCTGAGGCTGGAAGACATTTCTTCTTTAGCTCCTGATGTCTTCTTAGGTCCTGACAACAGGGGGCACTCAAGGGAGATTAGAAGCTTGAAAGAGAGAGAGAGATGTACTGTTTCTCATTGGCTCGCTGATTAGACTGGCATGAATCACATATTTGAGTTCAAATTCATTTAAAAGTGAACCCATATCAAGAAAGCATAGGAAAAAAAAGCATAGGCTGTAAATATCAATCTTAACTAATAAACTACTAAATGTGTCAGAAACAGATTGATAACTTTGAAAAAAATCAACTAGAACTACTACTCAATTTGCTATTGATCTGATTCTGATTTATTTATGTAGTA